CCCGACGATGGCTCGATTCAGCGCCGATGACGGAATTTATCGGTACGCTACGTTCATCGACTAGGTTTACGTTGATTCGGTTAAGAGGATCCATGAATCTTCTGCCGGTCCTCGACGAAAGAATTTCTGCCGCTTCGTCGACGACGATAGATTATTAAGCAGCGTGATCCTATGTATCGTAGTTAAAGCAAATCATCTCCGATCTTTTTATCGATTTTCTAATTATTTATCTCGACGAAGCGACATTATATTATTAGCCACAGCGCCATTTCCGAGAGTTTGCCGAGCGTGTTTGTAGAAAATTCATTTGAAATTCATTTCGACCAAGAAGCGTAGTCGAACTCGACGGAAGAAGGAGCCAGCCTCCTGACCTGCCAGTCACTTTTAAAACTCCTCTTCGCGGACGGGGCCGATTTAATTATCCCGAAACGTTACCGTGTTCTTCGAGAAAGAAGTACATATTCGGAGAACTCGACTCGTTTCGATCGTGTTTCGTTTACCTCGTCTTGGGTATTAATATTGCTGCTCGGCGTTCTCGACCCCTTTCGTCGATTTCGAGTCGCATTTTTCTATTAAAATAAAGGCCATTACAACGAACTGTACAGCTGGTAAGCAGATCACCGTTACGCGTTGTTAATTAACAGCCGTGCTCGCAGGAACGAGAACAATCGAAACTCGCTTCTCCGAGTTTTCAATTAACCCGTATACGTTGGTTGGTATTTTTGCGGACCGTTCCGTACCGGTTCCGGAGAAGAAACGAAACCACCGTCGCTTATGAAGTTGCCGCCTTAACCGTACGAAATAGACGCGAGGTGGGGGTGGACCCGTGTGGGAGAAAGGCGGAAGAGAAAAAGAGGAGATCGTTCCGCACGTTTGTACGACGAACTCTCCCCCAGCGAGCAAGTATTGGCTCGGAACTCGTTTGCGGGACACGAACTTTCCGCCCCGGTTGTCGCAGGAAAGAGGTTAAAATATAAAAAGAGAGAACCGAGGACGTGGAACGTGCTCGTGAAATTAATGGCGGGCAAAGGAGAAGGTGGCCGCGAGTCGCCACCTGGACACCGAACGGAATTGGAAACTGCTCCGTACAACGGGGCTGACAGAGAGATTGGTAAATCCGTATTAACCGATTTAACTCGGTTTTACGACGCCTCGTAGGTCCCGTTAAACTTTTTGAAAGTTAACGTTTCAACGCAGCGTTCGTGTACGCATCGAACGCCTCCTAAATAACAGATCGGTCTTTGGAACGAGCCTTCCTTTGCCCCGAACGCTTTTTATTCCGCGCGGATACGTTCCAAGCGAACGCGCGTCGGCGAACGACATAAATCTCGCCAAGGACAAAAGGTATCCCTTCCGAAATTTGGATCAACGACCTCCTTGGTAGACCCCACCTCTATTTCGCGGACCTGGTTCCAGCCACGTACGTACTTAGAACGTGTAGCATCGTCGTGCCATGGAAAACGGAAGTAGGAAGAAGCAGGAGGACGACAATAATTTACCGCGAAGGTGAAACGCGGGGGCAAAGAGCACGCGCACACATACCCTGCAGAACGGAAATAAATAAATAGCGAAGAATGGGTGAACGTTTCGAGAATCTCAACCGCGCTAAAAGTACGTTCGCGCGTTTTCGGTGGCTGCAGGATATTCTTTTCTCCTCCTGAAAGAAAGAACGCCGCTGGTTTTGAAATTAGTTCCAATTCCGTCTTTTTTTTTAGGAATTACAATCACTGGTTTTCTCTTCGACGATTGCAAGATCGCGGAGTCGTATTTTCGCTGCACACGTTTTAGTTTCGTTACTTGAAAACAGCGAGGTGCGTGATTTGTTGTGCTACGCCTTGTGCGAACAAAGCATATTTCCAGCTATTATTTTTCAACGTCGGGAAATTAAATTTATGCGCTTCCTGCTCGAAAATAATTCTGAAAAATGTCGTATCTCGTTTAATGTTTCGAACTTATTATGGAATCTGGTTACGGCGCCTGGAACATAGTACGCGATATCGAGCAAACGTTTGTTGCCGCATCGATGGAAATTTATTTCGACGCCACTGTCTGATAATTCAATTTTTCTACCCATTACTTGCGGCTACGTGTTTGTCGTAATACTACCTATTATTCTATACACGTTAGAACGAGCAACGCTGTCGTTATTACGGCTATCGATGATAATAATTATGCTACTAGTATGTACTATATATTCATTCGTCGGTGAGAATTCATCCAACTCTAGAAACAGGTACTCGTCCGATTATCGAGCAAACACACAGACGCATTCTACGTTCGGTTCGTCGATATTTGTTATATTGTATTTGTTCGTTAATCATCGTCGTCGTTCGATCCATACATCGAACCAGTCCCGTGTCGTTAATCTGACATACGACAAACCAATTTGCATATCGTCGTGACCGCGCGTAAACGAAATTTACGAGCCGGCGAAATCCGTCCGTATTTCCGTACACGGACCAACTCCGATCGCGATCGTCCTAATTAGATACTTAGGGAAATTTCTATTACGAGAAATCGATGGCTCGAGAAAATTGAATTCAACTTCGGTTCGATGGAAAACCTGGGTTAACGCATTACGTGACGGGGAGGTATTAATGTCGCTCGTCTCTCTTCCGTAATTGTTCCAACTTTGATTAGTTCGAATCAAGAGGGAAACCGATCGGGCGAATCTTATGGGAGTCAGCGAATCCGGATGTAACGGTGATATCCTCGATAAAGTAACGACGACTTTCAAACTCAATAAGACGAGACAGTCCACCGAGACTCACCGTGTGACTCACTTTACGCGCGGCTCGTTGTCATTCTCGATGGACATTCTTGTCGGTTGGCGTAACGCGTGTCACATTAACGTTAATCACGTGCAACTTTTTTATTCGTACGTTGTTTAAAAATATTATATTTTACTACCTAGCACAGCTGGTTACGCTGTACTTTCGTTCCTCTAAGCCAGGCAACAGTGAACCGATAGATCGAATAAATTTCGATACCTATGTGCCACCAATTGCGGCCAGGTCAAGCCACAACAGGAAATAACGGGTGGGAATTAAATGTACAACCAGATACCGTTTGGATCCAGGGAAAACACGATACCGAGAAAATACCACGAACCGATCACTCGTATAGGTAATCGCGTAACATCGTCGAGATAGTTTACGCGATCGTATAACCTGTTTATTATGCGAGTTATTATAGCCGGTCCGTGGGTCGGGAGACTAGCTGCTCGACCTTAATTGCGGTTGTTTCGACGAGATACGGTTTAACATCATGCCCCTTTTACTTGACAGCAATTATCTTCTTGCCGGACGAACGACCGCGGAAAATGGTTGCTCGTAGAATCAAGCGAAATCCCTGGCTGTCTCGACCAAGCTATTCACGGTTCTGCTGATCGTCCCACCACCTTCGAATCGATCTCCGTCGAACGTCAAGATCATCCTCCTCGTAGCCGTCACTGTAGGCCAGAGGCGAGCAACATAAACTTTGTCAACGTGTTTGCAGGTCCGACGCGGTAATCGCCGTCGAGTAATTACCAGTCGGAGCCACGCTTATCGACATAATTCGAGGAAACGTGTTGTCCGTTTAACGCTGGGAAACGCGATCAGCCGCTTCAATTATCGCTACGACACGAATTGAAAAAGGTTGGCCAAGCGGCTTTCTGCTCGTTAACGGGGGTGGAGAATTAATTATCCGACAGAACGTAAAACGATTAAACTGTAAGTTCGCTTTCCGTTCGCCTTCGCCTTTTGGGAATAAATTTCACCGTGGAGCTAATTTTTGTGAAAAACAAAAAAAAGCGAACGGCACACTGGCAGAAAGTACGAATACCTGGCGGCCAGTTTATTCGCCTACCAAGCATATTTAAATTTGAAAACTTTGAGTACTTGGGTACTTGAGCAGGTAGCCAGCTGCTGGCCTGGGAACGCGAAAACTACATTTACCAGGCAACTGCGCGATGTTTACTCTACCGCGATAGCGGCAACGTTTGTATGTTTATCGGGGGAACTAGAACGTTTCTAAATACGGTTAAGGTCACGACACGTACTCGCGATCGTGCTTCTAATTAACTTGTGCGTAAAATGCTTGTCGATGTACCAAAACCGGGCGCAAGAAATATAATATATCCGATAATAGAGATGGGTGGTACGTTAAAACGTTTACGGGGTTAAACACACTCGCCATCGTACATACGTACGTTCTGTTGCGTGACCACGGTTTAATCGAACGACACGATCCGAAAGTATATTACAGAGTGATTTATGTTTCGGATGGAAGCAAGAAAATTGCCCTGTATTAATTGCCCGCCAAGACATCGATCTTAATAGAAATTACATCGCCAGCGATCAAACTGTCCGGCTAAACATTCTCCCGTTTTATGTGCTTCCGTAGTATGTCGTGCAATGAAATTACGCCCTACGTTGATACCGTTCGACCTATATTAATCGCCGTTATTGGATCCATTGACATCGAACTTGAATAATACTGATTGTAATATTGAATTCTGGCCAGATTCGTAAACTCCTTTTAGTTTTAGCCATCTTTTCGAGATTTCGGACCGCTGTGAGTCGGTTTACCCGCGTTTCCCTCCATCGTGCCGCCTCGACTCGTGTAGTCAACGGTGGGAACCTCGTTAACAACTCGTCGTTACTAATTAGTACGAGGGCCGGATCGATCAGAACCAATTAAGACCAGCAAAGCATCGGTGTACCTTCCCTTTCGACTGTAATCCGCACTTTCCAGCGCCGATTAAGTCACGAGCGTCCTTTATCGCCCCTGCCTCTCTTTAATACGATGGAATCTCGATATAAACGACTAAACGAAGTTGCCGTACCGATGGACGTTCTATCGAGATTGCCGGTGTTCGGAAATTATGCCAAATATTCCAATTTTAGACGCGCGATAATGCGATTTACATTATATGTATAATTTAATCGAAAAATCATTCCAAGTAAAAAGGTCACCCGTGCTTTTATCATTATTAAAGATTCATATGTTCTGTTACAGATTGGAACTTGTAATTAAAGATTCTGGAGGCCTCGTTAACGTTTCAAACTAAGGTAAGAATAACGAGAAAATCGTCCATCTCGGTACAAAATTGACATCGATTTTAAACAATTAATGCGATTCAAATTCCATTTATGGGCGCAAAAAGACTACTTTCCGTGCCCTGACATAACTCGATAACGTTTCGTTACTATGTCTGATTATACCGTGGAATGTTTATGAAGTTTAGGATCTCTAATACCTGTTATTCCCCGTATCAAAGATTTTATCCTTATTTATCTTTGTATCGTAACAATAACGTTTTTCGTTACTATCGTTACAAACTTGGAAATCGATAACACGTTCTCGGGAACAGAAGATCATCTTGGCGTGTACGGAACGTATGAAAATATAATCATATTGTTTCGCGAAACGGCACGGAAAGATTATCCTCGACAGCGTTGCATCGTACAATGCTTAAGCAATTTACCTGTTTACGAAGTGGCTTCAAAGATTTGCATGTTGCTCGAGTTTCCGCGGATTATACGTTTAATTCACCGTCCGTTCCCAAGGCTCGCGTGCTCTTACGCGAAAATTTGCATCTTCCAAAAGTGACGCGAATCGCAGGCAAAGTTAGTTAGAAACGAATTTTGTCGTTCAAACATCTTTGAACCTATAATTATTCGTATCGCTTCCGACGAGAGATATTCAAACGACAGTTTCGCGCGTAAAGCAAAGAAAACGACGTTAATTAAGATAATTAAAGTTAGTTTCCAATCAGTGGTCCATAGTTCCGGAAATGAAACGAGCTCCGTTAGCCGAGGATACGCGGAGACGCGCTAATAAACCTTGAAAACGCCGGTAATTACCCAAGCGGTTGGTGTCGACCGATAGTTAAACGCGGCGGAGTAAAAGCTGGAACTCTTCATCCAGGTCGAAAATAAAGCGTCGCTGGACAAAGAAAACCGAACAGAGCATCCTGGCAATTTAGAGCCGTGTTTCGCGCCGAGAGGACCGTTTGTCAGTTTTTGCGACGAGACGTTGATACTCGGGATACCTGTAAGTAAATGGGATGCAAAGACTATAAACAATTTCCGAGGTGCTGCGCGATAGTTTGCCCCCGCAAGAACGTTTCGCATGTTTTTGCAACGAGTCTTCGCCGGGGCAGATTTTAGAACGAATGATTCGCGGAACAAACGGTTCAATTATTCCGAAATATCGCTAGCGAGTTTCTCCAAAAGTATTTCATTTGCAATATCAGTTTTCGTTCGTTTTCTATTCCTGAATTCCTTGTTTAAGGGCTCGTAGGACGATCTTCGTACATAAACATTTACCTTTGTCTATCCTCGTTCCTCGTAAACGGTTCTTTCGCTGTAGACGGCAGAAGGGCTGAATTTAGTAAGAAATTAGCAGATGTATTTCGAGGCAGTCGGTCGGTGTAGCTATGCGTTTCTCTCTGTCTTCTCCAATTTCTTGTCGCCTCGTCGGAGCCTCTGCTCGTGCCTCGGTGTCCTCTTTGTACGCCTAGCTTCTCCGCGGCGATAACGTAACAGCGTATTACAACGCGTAAACACAGAACGACATTGCACCCCGGCGGCAACCAGCGAAATAATCTTCGGTGGCTTACGGTTCGAAGATTTTGCGAAACACACCGACGACGTATATTTACTCGCCAGGATCATAAACGAACCGGCGCAGCGCGGTGATAGAATTCTTCGTTTTCCGCGCGCGTTTATCCGAATTCGATACGCGACGAATGCCATGGAAATCGATAGATAAAAAAACGAACCCGCGGATTACAAACAGAAAAGCATCCCGAGAAGGCTGATCGTTTCAACGAGCTATAATACCATGGACGATATCTTTAATTTTATTTAGACTTTTCCCCCCTACCTGCCTCTTGAAAATTACACGGACTAATTTCTAGGATAATTACAAATATTTCACGCTATTTACGCAGCTACATGAATTCCGGAACGCATCGTTTCGGTGGTCCGCTGACCATTATTACGTTCTTGCGCGAATCCTCCGATAAGACAAAATGAAATTCCTCGCACCTCGTGGACTTCCTAAATTCCTTTCTCTGTGTTTTTTTCTACTTTTTTCAATCTTCCTCTCTTGGGATATTGGCGAAGTTGAAAATAAACCCATGAGATGTTAAAGTAGGCTCGTTTTTAGGTTTCCCTTCGCGCCGATAAAGCAAAGTACGGCGCAAACTTCTCGAGACGCGAGACATTTTCCACTCTAAAAAACAATGTACCTATCGAGGAACTATTAAGCGGAGCTTTTCTAATTATCGAGAAACCGAGGAAAAAGGTCCTTCGTAATTAATAAGGAACTATCGAGGATTACCCGGAGAGGTCCCATTAATTTGCGAGAAATTGATAAGGAGGCTCTTAGTAATTAATTACGCACCTCTCGCGTTTAATACAGGTTTCGAGTAATTTTCAGTGCGGCAGTTCACAGTTTGTAGAAACATTCTCGCTTCTTATGGTTATTAATTACGAGCGACTTTTGTTCCTGAAGTTCTTCGGTAGAACATTTTAATCACCTTTACGACCCAGACTGCGAATAATTAACGCTCCGTTGCGGTAAAGTAAACCATTTTTTTCACGATAATGGCTCACTTCTCGCGGAGTCTGGTAATCCAATTTACTCGGGCGAAGCTTAGATTTCAAACGCAGATCGGTGCAAGATTTTGGGAAGCGCGAAGAAAGCAGAGCAGGGGCGCAAAACCAACGGGGCGGGAAATACCCGAATTCGAGCTAGCGATTTCCGGGTTCGCTAAACGACATTAAATTTTTATACGCGTTGCCTGTACGTACAATGGTATTTTTCATCGTTAGCCGTGTCCGCGCGGAAACAGTCCTTTTTCGCGTATTCCCAGGCCATTTTGATCGAACATCGACTCGCGATACGCGATATTTCCATTCGCTGTCCGCGTTCGTTTCCCTCGTATTTCTAGAGGCGGCGATACAAAATCTCTGGACGAGCCGAGTACCCGAAAACATCTCGAATACTCCTTGCAGCGGGTTTTGTGCAGCCTCTCGAAAGGTCTAGGCACGGCTGGCAGCGTATCGAGTCGGGAATCTATAATTAACAGAGGATTACGCGGTTTTCTTGCCCTCTCTCCGGTTTCCTTGAGCACAGGCTCGATAGCTGTACCGGATGCGCCGTCGAGTGTCCGGCAAGTACCCTGGCAGGGAAAACGAGCACGCTCTTGAATCGTGCGCCGGTCGCGTTGCAACCGAAACTTTCAACTCGAAAGATAAAGGCGAACGCAATCGTGAATCTGGCACGCCAAAACCGACAAACTTTCCTCGTCGGTTCGTGGTCGTAATCGCCTTTTTGTTATCGTCGCCTCGATCGTGTCGTGGCCAAAACGCGGGACACGGACCAAGTGCAAATCCCGGTCAAACAATTCGAAACATTCACCGTGCCGATTGGCATACGGAAACTCCCAATGAATCCTACGGAGGATAAAACGAATCCAGCCTGGGAAGTCGAATCGCACTCGTTTCGCGTAAGTCACGCTGTCAACGTCCCGTTTAAGAGATCGATGCGCTCGGCAGACGGGTATTTGTCGCCACCCACACCGAAGAAAAACTCGCCTCGCGCCTCGACCGGGCCAGACGTATGCGCCCTGCCCCGAACGGAATAGCAAATCGCTCCAGACACACGGAATCGCAGGCCATCCTCGCGGACGACCCCCGATAAGTCTCCTTAATTAGAATCTTATCGGAACGCGAACCAGATGCACGAGCTGGCTACAGGGTGTCCCGAAACAGGCCTACTCTCTTGTACACCGGGTCGCGCGAAAATCCTAATCGAATCGCTTTCGACTTTTCTCTAAGGAACGCGTCCAGATATTACTCAAATATTACACTTTGAGAACATAAAGATTCGACACGTTACAAAACGAGGTAGACACACGTAGATAAAGGACGAGTTCTCGGTGAAAAAGAATGGAGAGAACATTCCCCCGGATCGAAAGGTTCTTTTCCAGAACCGATGTCTACCGCGTTTGGACGTTCCACGGATGTCGGGTGACCGTTCAAAGGTACCTAGTCCGAGCCGATCCTACTCGCTGCATTCTTGCTCGAATTCCTGCGCTGGATAATTGCCGAACAGTGTTTCTACATAAGCGTGTATGCATCGGTAAATCGACACACGGCGCTTCCGCGAGCACCCTGTATGTACGTACATAGTCGCGAAAGGGTGAACGCGTTCGAGAATTTCGTTTAAAAGTTTCGCTGAAACGATCCAAGGACCAAGCCTCCTCTCCGTTCGACGCATTCTTTAAATCCATTTCTAGAATCCACGGAGATTGAATTTTAAAGAAAATTCCATAGGGTACAGGCTACTTAAATATCTCGGCGAAAAAAAAATTTTCAAATCGTTCTGGAAAAATTATTTTTAGTTGCAGAGGTTAATTACAATCATTTTCGGTCAATAGACATATCCCCGAAATCCTACTCAGTTTCGAGAAAAAAATTCATTACCGAAAATATAATGTCTGACCATATGAGGAACGTACTACTGAAATTTTTCCCTGAAAAAAATTTTTTTCAAATCGATCTGAAAAAATTATTTTTAGTTTTGAGGTTCAATTGCGATCATTTTTTGTCAATAGACATACCCCCGAAATTCTACGCATTTTCGAGAAAAAAATTCGAATTGGTGCCGCAATTGTTTGCCGGAAAAAAAATTTTTCAAATCGTTCTGGAAAAATTATTTTCAATTGCAGGGTCCAATTATAAGCATTTTTGGTGAATACACATACCCCCGAATTCCTACGCCCATTGGAAAAAAAAATTCATTACTGAAAATATAATGAACAGAAATGTTTGTCCGAAATATCATGCGTTCATATAGCTCGTCTGTGATAATAATCTGACTGTAAATTATGCAAGTTTCAGTTTCGTGGTATTTCGGTTTACAAAATTCGAAACGCAACAAACGATGCATGGTAATGGAACGAGCCCTTTTCGTTCTTTATCTTTTTACGTTCGTCCTCTTTTCTTTCGCCCTTTTCCTTGAAACTTTTCGACACTTTTACGCGCAATGGGTGTGGCTGGCTGGCGTTCTCGTTCCTCGAATTCTCTTCGAACCTGTGCCCGTCGAGCCCGTACATATTCATGGCGTCGAAACCGCTTTGCTCGACCCGCGAATAATATCGATTTATTGATCAAGTATCTAAAAGTATTTAATCGGTAGCCGAAATTATTGGCTTTAACCGGCGCTCTTTGAAACCTGCGCGCCGATGTCGCGTTTTAACTTAAATTTCGAGTTGGAATTTCGCTTCGTTCCGTATGCTTCGTAACGCGCAAACGAAATATCTGTTGACGAGGATAATGGAAAACATTAAGCGAGTATCGAATGCCCTGTTGCGTCGAAACGCTTGGCATTTTGTGCTGCGATATCGAATCGATGTTCGATACGCTTTCGCGCGATACTCGAAAGCGTATACCCATTGCGTAAAAATAATCCGCTCGCTTAGGAACGCTCCGATATATCCGTCTTTCCGAGGCGTTCGAGTGACTTCTCGTTCGAAATTATGCGCGACCGTGCGACTGGTTCGAAAATCTGATAGAAAGAATATCGAACGCCTATCGATGTCCCGCAAAAATCCATTCGCCAAAGAAACACGAGACGATAAAACGTCATAGATCTGCGGCGAAAATTGAAATCCAAAGAGGATTCTTTGTTCCACCTTACCCATCGCGAATTCGTATTTCCGCGGGATTCAAGCATCGAGAAACATTTTGTGCCCTACTTCTCTGCTTCTTTTATTTCGCGCAACTTCGATCGTCGCTCCGTTTTCAATTCCTCCCGAGAAAAGTGTGTCATTGGTGGAAAAACCAATTTACGTTGTTCCGCAACTCCCTATCGGTCTCGAGAATATTACACGAGCCTGCTTATTAATAATAGCTCGCGAGACGCGGAGGAACAAAAGACGAATTTTGAATATCACGCAGCACGGAAGCTTTGAAAACGCGAGCGTGGTTTATACCGTAGCCTATCGTCCTTTGTCGCTGCGCAAACCGATTTCGAATGTTGCGGGCCAGCGATTCGAGCTTTGAAAGCAGAATTTTTGCTTAACGTGAGGTATTCCCGGCTATTTTATACCCGAATACTCGGATAATCGTTGCACCGTTAACATTGCACGGCCAGGATTCCCGTGGTTTTCGCAGAGTCGTTGCCCGTCGATCGTAGGAATTTGGATAATCGAGTTCATTTTCAAGAGAGATTCTCGCGGATATACGATGGCGATAGCTTCAAAATGGAAAGTGCCTTTTATACGCGCGATGTCTCTGATCCGGCTGGCTCGTGTTACGTACCCACCGGAAACGCACCACTGACTACCGGAGCCCCGCTCGGATGCATATCGCGCGCTAATTGAAACGATGCGATGGGAACGCGAGCACTCGTCCTCTCGTGCCCGATGATCGCTCGATCAAACATTTCTATCGCGAGCAATCAGTTATCCACGAATCAGACTTTCGTCTGCTGCTGGATCCCGCGATTCCATTTTTCGAATGGATGTTTATCAATGGACCGTTTTGCATAACGTACGACAACGCAAAAATATTTATATATCGCGCGGATAAAAAGTACCGAACTGCATAACGACGACCGAATCGCATTTCTCTCGGCAAGAAGCGACGCTTTTTCCCCGTTCCTCTTCCAAGCGAGCATCGTGACCGCGAAAAAAGCTGAACCCAGACCGGGGAAACAAAAGCTCGCGTGCGTTTTCCACGCTCGTAAAGCGCAGAACGCGCGTGCGAGGCCGAGGCGCGCGCGACGGATCGACGACGCGACGCGGTTGAGAAAATAAAGGCAAACGAGAAACCGCGCGCGACTCTCGCGGCGAGTATTATGCGAGCTTCCGCTCGAGAGGATAATTTTTCAAAGGGTCTTGGCGAGGTGGTGTCCCTTTTCGGCTCGTCTTCGTTTTGCGGAGAAAAAAATGCGAGCCAGGCGTCGAGGGGCCGGCGTCGTTGCACCGTCGCGACTCTCGCGCCTGTCCAGCTATCCGTGAGCACCAGCTACCTTCATCCAACGTATTTCGTTTACCTTTTTCACGGCCTTTACGTCCCGCTACCTACCAATTTTCTTTTTCACTTTTTTCCAACTCGCGACAAGATTTTTCTCGCCCGATGAAGCATCGTTCGCTCCGCTTCTTCGAAGGCGACACAGCGATTTCAAGTAGCTCGCCGAGGAACGCCGCCCGTCAATCCGTCTTCCGTTCGATAACACGTCTCCTAAACAAATTTAATTACAAACGAACCCTGATATAAAACGATTCCAGCTCACGGCTGGACGATAATGGAGTTTTTTTAACTGCAATTAATATACCACAGTCGTCCAAGGATTACTGTCACGGAGAAAAATTGTCTACCCGCAGAATAGATATCTTCGTGTAACGAGTTACGAAAAGTTCGACGAATCCGTCCGCGTTAAGCTTCGACGAGTGATTTTTCAACAATCTCTCAACTATTTTTACAAAACCTTTTTCTCCCTTCGCGCAAAACTGTATTCGAATGGTATATGCCTATGCAAACGTATTTTTCTCGATTTTACCGATCGAATCGAACCGAGCGCGACAGATTTCGAGGGAGAACAGTTTCTAACGCGAACGATTTGTTTCGTTGCAGGCAAAGCAAGAACGGAGTCGTCGGTATGAGGCAGTTACCGTGGATCTTTGTGTTTCTTCAAGTACTTCTGCTGACCTCGTTGCTCTCCTCGAGCCGGTCTGCCTCGACGAGATCCCGCGGGAAAAAGAAGGTCGCCAAAGAAACGAAGGAAGTAAACATTTGCGAAATCGAGGACCCGCACGTACCGATTTATTGCTACTGCAACGACAACGTAGTCAGGAACGCGACGGAGGCGAAATGTTTGGTTCTGAGCTCGTTAGATCCAAACGATCCGTCATGGGACTACTTCGACTCGCAGATCTACTTGCAGGAGCTGACGTTCAACGTGAAGATGCTCGACAGCTTAGACTACATACCCACGCAGCTGCTGCGGCAGCTGAAAAATCTGCAGAAGATCACGTTTCACTACGCGAAGATCGCCGAGCTGCCCGATTACGTGTTCTCGAATCTGTCCACGATCACGGACATCGATCTCAACAAAAATTCCATCACCGCGTTGAAGACGCACGCGTTCGAGAATATGAAGAGCCTGCGGGTCGTCAGTTTAAACGAAAATCGAATCACCGAGATTAACAGGTACTCGTCGATCGTTTCTTTTTACTAGATCCATCATCCTCCTGCGACAGCATTTTCGAAAACGTCGTGTTCTGCAAATTTATTAACTCCGCGTATCGCTTGCAAAGTAATTTCCGTGTACAAAGGTACCGCGAGCAACGCTCTTGTCGAGCTAAACTTCGCTGAAGATGGTACGAATTTAAATCGCGTAATCGAAAATTGTTGCGTGAGGTAATAGTTGGGTGTTGCGGCTATATATACCACGTGCTCCGCGGATTCTGCTTTCGATAGTATTCGAGGCGTTAAGAGCTTTTCCCGTCGAGTACCCCTTCTAGTTCCGAATGATTCGTTCAATTATGTCGTATCGCGTCGCGAGTCTCCGACCGAGCGAATTGAAAACGCCTTTAGCGCGCATAGTCGCGTTTTACAAGGAACGCTGCGAGACAAATTGCCGAGGAATTTCTTCGGATCACGACGCACCAGGAATTTCCAACATCGAGCCGTCCCGGTGAATCACCGGACTTCTCTGATAATAATCGAACGAACGGTTCGTGCAGCGATAAATATAGGACCCCGAAGCTCTCGAAACTCGAATAAACGGGTAAGCGAGCGACGGGTGACGGGGCTCCGTTAATAATTGATCGATCGATTAGCACCGGGGAATTATTAAAACTTGTACAACTACGAAAATTACGAATCGAAGCGTTGAGTTGTGAATTTTACACGATACGATTACTTGAAATTTTAAACATCCCGACCAGACGTTCCTCTGATTCGTTACTCGTTGCAGTATTATTAAAGGCGATTTACAATAGCTGAAGTAATTGGTTGTCAAAGGCCATCGTTATCACCCTACGGGGGTTCCGGAGAGACTTTGCGCGGCTAATTAACTACGAACCGACTGGCATTGGCAAGGTACATCGATACGCGTTTGTGAAGCAGAAAATTGTTCGATGTTAGAATCCATCGTGGTTAAAACACGATGGCAAGTTAGAATTAATATTCTGCGCAAACGTAACGACGTATAGCAGGTACATAGGTATCGTAGTTTGGTATTTGGTAAGCGTACATTATAGTTCACCGACACGCTTGTCGTCCGAAAGCTCCTTATCGAGGAAAACTGGGGGTGTCGTACGCCCCCATGGCGCGACTCAGCGCTGCAGCGCGATTTTTATTGCGCGAAACTCGTAATCTCGACATCGAGACGGTCGCTGCGTCGCTCTAAATAAACGCAGAGATCGCTGACGATACGAATTCAGTGACGCGAACAATGCAGTCCGGAGGATGGGCGCAGTTTTCCGCGGTTGCGATCGCTACGCTTTTCCCTCGACTTTCGTGCGCTTAAAAGCTCGCCGCGCTTAGCGAACGAGGTCGTGGAACGAGCAACCAAACTTTACGATACCTATGTCGTTGTTGCGATAGCGAAAACTATGGTCGTTCGAACGGGATGGTGTCTAGGAGATCGTAACGCGAAAAGAAGGGTAGATACAGAGGTTCGCCAAACGATAGACTCGTAATGTTCGTTAGGGACGAATAAATTTGTTGCGTAGATACGATCGATCCGGGAAATCTAATTTTCGCGAACAGTACAACTTCGAAACGACTTCGAAATTCCTTCGAGAAAGCTGTCGAGGCGTTTGTCGCGTCTGGTCGTGTCCTCTGAACTGTATGGGTTTGATTCACAGACATACGTTCGTAAATCTGCCGTCGATGAAGAGTCTCTTGCTCGCTCACAACAACATCAGCACGATGCACGACAAGGCTTTCAAGCATTTGACCACCCTGGAAGAATTGGAGCTGTCGGACAATCGGATCAAGGTGATCACCGGTGACAGCTTTCACGGTTTACGGAATCTGGTGCGACTCGATCTTCGGAACAATTTGCTCGACATGATCGGCGGTCGAACCTTTATCGAAATGCCGTCGTTGCAAGAGCTCGAGCTGGATTCGAACAAGATCGTATATATTTCGGACAAGGCGCTCGAAGGTCTAAGAAACCTGAGGAAACTCAGTCTCAGCGACAACAAGCTCGCCACTCTCGAGCCGGACTTTCTGGCCGGTGCACCGGGTGTTTACTTCCTAGACCTTAGGGACAATCAACTGAAAACGATAACCTTCGATAATGTCAAGCCCATCGTGACGAACATGTACAACGTAACCAGCCACTTCTACCTGAACGGTGAGTAAAACTGATTCTCGAAACTACCGAGCCTCGACGCGTGAAAAATTGAAATTCCAAGTCGTAAAGACGACCCGCGATTCGACGTTTGAATCGCCTCGGTGAACTTCCGCTCTCGGTAACTCGTTTCGAACGAAGGGTCGGACATTGTTATCGCGACGTAAAATCTTTAATTTAGCTCGTTAAACGAGATGCGTGCCAATTTCGCGGTCGTTTAAACGCGCCGTTTAAGGGGAACTCCCGCGATTCCCGCACAGGTTTTACCCCATGCATGTTTTACGATCAAACCGAGGGTATTTTCTCCGAATATACCGGTTCGTGGTAACTATTATAGTCCGCCGCGGATACGTGGTGGTCCAGCCCCCGAAATTAACGACACTTTTCGCAAGTCTCCGTTCTTTGGTTCGAAATGTAAATAATTCCAGATGCGATATTTCCATTCGACGCGCAATTTCCGATATAGCAGTTCGGTCTGTCTTTTCCAGCGTTCCATCCATCCTGGAATTACCATAGACCGACAAAAAGGCTAGTCGCGCGTCGTCTCTGCTCGTCGTCGCGTCGCTCGGAAATTACACGAACCGTAACACTAACATTCAGGATAAGTGGAAGCTTTGGAAGCGTGTCAAAATATTTGGTGAACGTAATAGTCGAGTGACTTCGGTTAAATGTCCAAGGATTCATTGGCGCGAATACACGATTTCTCTAAAACAGATCGAATATCGAGACTGGTATCGCGAATAATGATTATTTATATATACAAATAGCCATTTAACAGTATATTTTTCCAATAACGAAAATAATCTAATTAATTAACAACGATTACGTCTATAAAAGCAAATTCCGTCGAACCGAATGAAATAACGTAAATACGGACTCTGTTCGATTTCGACAAAGTAGATATAAATAATTGTTACGACCAATTTAACGTTGTTACCTATGAATGAGACGTCGAGGTATTTAACTATCGTTGATTCGGTATTTATCTGTCCGATAATACATATTGTACGGGTTTAATTATATAAAAAGAACGTTTCATTATTTTCGTCTAAATTCGACAACATCGAAATTTCATTGCAGCGTCGAATATATATGGGCACATAATACGTTTTCAGCTTCCAATAATTGCGAAACGAAAACGGAACGCAACGCAACGCAACACGATAAAACTTTCTATAACCATAAAATACCAGCGATAGATGTAATATTTCCAGCGGACGAATTATCAAGTGAAATATTTGCGACACACAGTAAAATGACGAACGTATTAATATAACCGAGATATTGTTATCGGTTCCACTTCCTCTCTGGTACATTTTTATTCACGAATAGTTTACGCACCCCGTTCCTTGATCCACGAATATATGCGCGTATATTCCAGGAGCCTGGCCGCGTGGAACTTATCGCGAAAGCTGTTTTCCCAAGGCGAAGGGAAAACTTGGATATCGGATATGCGAAGCAGCCGATTATAGAAAATACGTACTTGAATATGTGTGCCACAGGTGGCACGCAAATGCTCCAATATTTAACACCGATATTGTTCCTTAAAGTCGTAAGAGATTACGCTTAGCAACGGAAGTTTATGCCCCTGTTCGAAGAGCCTGAACCACCACTATCGAACCACGAACAAATAAATAGCGATATCGTCGAGTTTTCAATTTTCCAATTAAAAGTTAAACTTGGGTTCGTTCGCCTTGGTATCCGAAAGGCATTATTCGGCCCAATTCCTGTTCGATCTAAACCCCAATTACGAGGCAGAACGCCGTATCAACGACGTTTTTCAGTTCGGCATTAGAATCACGGGGAATTACGAAAACCGAAGCAGAAGCATGTAACAAAGGGTTCGAAGAAATCATAAATCAAGCACGCGTCCATTGTTTCCCCGTTGCCGGCGTGCCGCGAACGGTCTATAAAACGCGTTTAAGACTCGAGGACTTTTCACGAAACGGGAAGTTCGTGTTCGAAGCGGTGAAATATCGCGGAACAGGATGATTACGCGGACGTTGAGATCGACGAATAAATAGCGGAAAGCTTCGATACGATCAAAGCTACGTTGTACCTACTGCCATATTTATCGTTGCACTGTGATTTCCTCGTCAGCTCGCCGCAACGTCGGTCGATCTCTACACGAAGTTACATTCAAACTACGGGTTCGGAAAGTTTTCTTATCGATATGTATTACTTTTAAACACAGAGACGGAGAATAAATTCGAGAAGAAAGGTTCGCCCGTGTGCTCATCCCGTAAAACGCAGCGATGATTTAGCGAGCGAGATAAAACTATTACTCGAAGACATTACTTACCGGTGAGCTCTCATCTCAGCACGAGATGTTAACTTTACGGCTCGAGTTCGACCCGATTCTCCCGGCAGTCGTTGAATCGTTTTGCGTCGCTTAACTTTCACGGCGTTTTCTGTGAATTCTCAGACGCACGCTAATTGCGAGTTATTACGATCCTTGGAACGCGAGTCGCGCATTAATCATCCGATATCTTGCGGGAACCACATCGCGAGAAATATGCCAGTGCATGCCGACTATGCAATTCTCGATACGTACCTTTCTCGCATCTGTTCCTTTCACCGATTTGAAGATTAAACTTTCAACGAGTACGTCCATTTCCAGCCGATTCGTCTGTGGTCAAGTTCGTTTTTGCACCTATCGACGCTAAACGTTACTTCGACGAAGAAAGAGTCGGGCGTAGTGTTCTCGGTGGTCTTGAGTGGCCAATCGATTTCCTCCAAACTAACGTATACACTTGGAAGCACGAAGGATGAAAGAGAAGAAGCCTTATACGGAGGGCAAAACTGTCGTCGATCGAACGACCGTCCACGTGGTTACCACAGAGTCCTCTTTCCCGCTCGAACAACGCTGCCAGTTCGGCGCTCCATATCCGTCGCCGGTAAAAGCACCAATATTTTACCACAAACGAGGTATACGAGTAGACCTTTCACCCAATGGTCCAGAATTTAGCATTGATAAATACGTACTTCGTTGGCACGTCTTGATATGATTTTTTTATATTTCGAAAAGGAATTTCTTGATCTCGAATTCCAATAAGAGACTGTAACAGATACGAAACAAAGATAATTAAGTAATGATTAAATCGAAATCGTATTGCAAAAGATCGTAATTAAAACGCGAGATTAAAATTACGCACCTTGAAACGCCGATACGTCTTGACACTTGTAACTACGTTAATTATCAGAGTAAAAATGGCGGTCTCTCGGTAACGCTCGCGAATTAGGCGGCGGCGTGGGGGAAGACCCGATGTCTCGCGAAGCTTGTATTTATTACGAACCCGAAGGACGCCTCAGGTAGAAACCGCGGACACAAGGAACAAGAACGATTTACGAGAACAGCATAAATACCTCGACTTTGGAATCCTATCGATGGACGGCGATACAAGGTACAAATTAAATATAACTCACGCTTTTGTCGATTTATAGTAGCAGATGACAAGATTCTCGAATTTGTTAACATCATTCACTTCGGTGATTACATGGGAAATTATTTGGAACTTTAACTGGTCAAAGTTACTTTTCAACTCATATGTGGGTTTCTCAACTGACCGCGATTCGTGAGAGGAGGACGCTAAAATCACCTCTCAATTTTAAGATCGGTACGACAGTAAATTCGGGCCACGAAAGTTCATAAGGTGTAAGATCTACTCGTATACCTCGTCTGTGATTTTACCTCGGTCCGCTTACAACGAGTCGTACGGAACTCGTATCGTTCGCTCTCTAGGTTCGAGCATACGCTTAAGCGCCGCACGAAAAGTCCCCGGGGGCAAAAGTGCACTTTCCCGACCCGCGTTCCGAATTAAGTACTACCGATCCTCTAAAGCAACTGCTTAAACCGAACCACCGCTCGCTTGGTTGCTCTTTTAAGAATCGAGCTGTGTTCTCAACCAGCTCTACGCTTCACTGTACTTCTATCCTCGATGTATCGCGACCTTCGGAATCGTTATTGCTGTTCCCCGAATTCGCGAGACCTTGTACGTGTCTCTTACGATTCACGATCCTTGTCCTTGCCCCGACTATATGCATGTAGTCACTCATTCAATTTTCCATGTATCCTTAGACAATGTTTTCTCTTTATATAACTTGAACGTTGCGTTGTCGAGCATGGAGCATAATCCTCCGCAAACAAACAGACGAAAGCTCATATTTGTTCCCTAACGTTGTTGCGTTCTTCTTTTCGGTACGTTGCACGCGATAAAACAAAATACGAAACACCAGGAGGATGCTCTTGCAGCAACGGGCGATACCTTTCCATATTTTTTATTCTCATTTATTTTGCTCGTTTACTCTTTTCCCGCGATCCCCGCGTAAAGATACAGCAGAAGAAGAAATATTAACCCTTTGGGAGAATAATTCTTTCGAAACGAGTTATCATAGCTGTAAAAATTGTTTCACATCCAACTCTGATTTATTTATTTAACGTGTCTGTTGTCCTAAGCAGAAATACGGAAACTCCGCGATCACGATTTTCCAGCAACGCGACCGAGCACAAATGGTCTTAAATAGATCGTTTCGCCGTGAAGTGCGTTTCAAGCGATAACCGTTGGAAGCAACTGGATCGTTCGGTGCCCGTTAACGAATAAAAATCAGCGAAAACTACTGGACCGAATAACGAACAAGAATGATTTAGCGGGCAACAATTGATTTTTACGGTAGAACGAGTCGCGATGCACCGTAATTTAATTTGGCCAGCTTTTAATTACCTGTAGGATACTTGGCGTGGGCGATTTAGAATGTTTACCGCGTTCGTTCGATAAAATAAAATCTAAATAATTGCTGCCTCCTAGTTGGATATTTCCAGTTCGTTATATCCGTCTCGACGAAATTGTACAAACTGGATTGTACGCAAACGATAACATAGAAAAATGTAAATAATTTTAATCGATTCTACGGGCGAGAACCTCTGACCCAATTATCCCGACGAGCGGCTACTTCCGGGCGGAAGTACCGCCCCGGGGTTTCTAGCTTACTTGATCGCGACGACA